GGTTGAGGTTTGGTCTTGGGGTCCTTGTTTGGGGTCTTGGGGTCCCTTCGGTAGGTCCTAATGGGGTCTCGGGGGTCCTGATTTGGGGTCTTGGTGTCCCCATGGGGTTCTTGGTGTCTCAGTGTTCCCAACAGAACTTTGGGGTCCTTGTAGGGCCTTGGGGTCCCTTTTTGTGGTCCCAGTCGGGTCTCGGTGCCCTCATTTGGGGTCTTGGGGTCCTTGTGAGAGGTCCTAATGGGGTCTCAGGTCCTGATTTGGGGTCTTGGTGTCCCCATGGTGGTCTCATGGTCCCCAGGAGGACTTTGGGGTTCTTGTAGGGTCTTGGGGTCCCTGTGAGAGATCCTAATGGGGTCTCGGGACCCTCATTTGGGGTCTTGGGGTCCCTTGAGAGGTCCTAATGGGGTCTCGGGGTCCTGATTTGGGGTCTTGGTGTCCCCATGGGGTTCTTGGTGTCCCCATGGTGGTCTCATGATCCCCAGGAGGACTTTGGGGTTCTTGTAGGGTCTTGGGATCCCTGTGAGAGATCCTAATGGGGTCTTGGTGTCCCCATGGGTTCTTGTTGTCCCCAAGAGGACTTTGGGACCCTCCTGAAGCCCTTGCCCTCCCTTTGGGGCATCCCATAGGGTTCTGATGCCCCGCCCCACGGGTTTTGGGTTCAATAGGGGTGTGTGTGGGGTTTTATGGGGTCACGAGGGTCCCGACCCCAACGTCCCCCTCCCACCTCCCCCTTAATGATCCCAGCCATCGAGGACGAATACAGCGGCCCCAAACTGGACGGTGGCAAAGTGACCCTGAGCTTCATGAAGGACCTGATGCAGTGGTACAAAGACCAGAAGAAACTCCACCGAAAATTCGCCTACCAGGTGAGCCCCCCCCCCCCCCCCCCCCCGGGTTTGTCCCCAATGCCCCCCCTTTGTCCCCCTGCAGATCCTGGTGCAGGTGAAAGAGGTGTTGGCCAAACTCCCCACCTTGGTGGAGACGACGTTGAAGGAGGTGAGGACCCCCCCTTTCCTTCCCCCCTTCGCCCCCCCCGAATTGATGTCAGTTTTGGGGTTATTGGGGTGTCTTTGTCCCCGTCCCCCCATGGTGACGTTGTCCCCTACAGACGGAGATGGTGACGGTGTGCGGGGACACCCACGGGCAGTTCTACGATCTGCTCAACATCTTCGAGCTCAACGGGCTGCCCTCCGAGTCCAACCCATACGTAGGCACTGCGGGGTGTTGCGGTGGCGGTTGTTGGTGGGGTGGCGGTTGTTGG